TTTTTATATATATATATACTTTCTTGAATTCGTTGTTTTTGATCTTATTCAAGAATTCGTTGTTTTTTGACCTTATATTTTGGCTGCTTGTGGTTTGGGTGTGTGGTCTTTTGCGTTGATCTAAGCTAATGTTCTATTAACATTGTTTGGCAGATGAAACGAGCTCACTCACTGCTTTGGAGTCAATTTCATGGGTGGAACACCGTAAGGATGTTATTAAGAAACCTAGCCCACCTATTGGAGACATTTCTAAACAACACAATTGCAGTGGCTCAAATGGTCCTTCATGGATTCCTAGGACTGAAGAAGTGCAAGTACAAAGAAGAGGAGGAAAAGTGACAAGAAGTAGCAGCGGTTGCTCTAAGAGAGCACGGTTATCTCCATTAGAAGATTCTACTGGACCAGCTGGAGTTGCTGACTCAAAGGATTCTTCTGATAAGCTAGGTTCGCATCCAACCGAGATTGACTGTAATGGTAAACCCTTTTCTCTGGTATTAAATAACCCGTTGAACTAAAGTGTTTTTCTGTCTACTTCAGATGTCAGTGGTGGAAGTTCGCTCCCTAAAATGATTTTCTTAGTTGTGTTCGTTTTATTGACGACAATATTGTTCTCCTGCACATACATGTTTTTAATTATATATTCATGTATATGGAAGCTCTCCACATAATGTGGTGGTTGTCTGTTTCTGCAAGCTGCTGTGAATACCTGGCAGGATTTGTGTAAGCGTGCACTTATTTCCTCCGCGTATTGCTTGCTAAACATTCCACAGAGAAAGCAGTTTTGGAACTGCAGCATAACTTTTCTCTTCCACTTCTCTCTAGCAAAATTCTTTCACTGCTGTTTCTATTCTACTTCATATACTAGTTATGTCAAAATCTGAATTGTGCTACGATGAATTCTTATAATGATCTGGGATAGACTTAATTTTTCCATGTCACTCACAACTGTTGGCATCGCTGAAATTTGATTGTAGCAACTAACAATGACCTATCATATATTCTTCTATTATACGTAATTTAGTTATGTGCGCACAAGAATATATAGTACTGTTGATATGAAAGCTATTAGCCACCTCAATCCTCGTACTGATGCATGCTTTATCTATCTAATGTGCGTTTTAGAAAAAACTCAATCAGCCAAAAAAAAGAACAACTTTGGCCGCAAGCGAGGTGATAGGAGACACTCTAAAGTTACATTGAAGACTAAATTTGATTCCTTCTCTGTGAAGGCAGGTTTGGCGAGCTTTGGTTCAGCTGGTGGTGGGAACAGCTATTTTGGTACAATACAGTCAAATAAATACTTCTGTTTTGTTTTATGATCAGTTTTCTTTGACACTATGTGTAAGAATTGTTAATCATTGCCTCAGCTTACTCTGTATTACATCCATGCATACAAATTTAGTTTCCATACATTAGAGGCATGCTAAATCAACCTTCTATTATTAATGAAATTAATATAATACTGATATTCTAGATGCTTGATATATAATTTAAATTAATGAGATGTTCTTGAGACTTATTTGGCAAGTTTTTGAAAAAAATCCATCAATTCAGGGTGGGGGAGTGTGCATAAGCATGTTTTGAAGCCACAAGTTGAGTCAATTGCCTCTCTCTTTGATCGTTTAGAACTGCCCTAATTTCCCAATTGAGGTCAGGTCCATTGAAGTTGTGTTTCTGATGATGAATGGACATTTGAGTTTCAGTTGCCAATATCAATCTATATGAGATTTAGCAATATCATGTATAATTTCACTGATATTGCTTTTTTCAGTACCTTTTAAGATTATGTGTCTTATTTTGCTGCAATGCCTTTTGTTTTCTTCTCTATTTTATGGTGCTTGTAACTTATTGTGCTATTTATCTTCTCTTTAGGCTGGGTTGCTAAAAAACTGATGTGTGTATATTTGGATATTATTCTCAGGACTGTGTGGTTTGAAGACGGATGATCATGACATCACAAAGCTGGTAGACTATATATCATTGAACGATGTTCTTGATGGCACTTACGAGTGTCCTAGCTTAGGCAAAGACAAGGGGAAGAAAGCCATAAATGCAACTGAAAATATTCTGCATTCAGTTGTAAAAGCTTGCTTTATTCTTCATTTCTCCAGGCCTGCTCAGCTCCAGAATTTTGCTGAGACAGATGTCTATTCCAATGAGAAAATGCCTCCATGCCCATCTTACTCTGTTTCTATTGTTGAAAATGGAGATTCTTCAGCAACTGATATTTCTTCATGTACCAAGGTTAGTTCAATGAAATTGTTGAATGCAAAAGAATGTAGACAAGCATGAATTAGATGAGAATTTAGCGACTCACTTAATTAGTCACTGTGAACTTCGTCGCTTTATTTCCTAACACACAAATAACTATTCACATTTCTTTCCAAAATCTTACATTAATTTCAAAAAACTCAAGTCGCCTTGACGGTCATCTGACTCCCTATACTGTCAATTTGAAGTCAATTTGTAGAGCTGACTGAAATTTGGGACAACTGGTATGCAATTCTGTGTGATTGAACTTTTAATAATCTCAAGGCTCCAATGATAGAATTGTTTTGGTTGTCATCTAACATGCTAGTGCTACTTATCCTTCAAAGATAATGATGCTCATTGTAAATGAAAGTGTGCTCTATCTTCTCCTCTTTCAAACATACAGGATTCTTGCAACAAGCCTGAAACTCCTGCTAATTTGCTTGATTTTTCGTTTGACCAACCTAAAGATACTCTGGATCGGTTGGCACTTCCTCCACCCAAGGATCTGGAGTCTCTGCTTCTGGATGCAACCAAGCTTGCTGCATCATCAAGGCATGCCCCTGATCCACGACCTGGGAAGCAAACATCTCGCCAGGCTAGCTTGCCAGCTTTTCCCTGGTCACACACTTTCAGTGGGCAGCACTCCAGAACTAATTCTGACAATGTTAAGTGTTCACCTAGTAGGAGTACATGCCAAGGTAGATGGGTAAGAATAGGGGACAGTTTCAGTTCACCTGGGTGTGCCTCTGATAGTTTAACAAATTTGGAGTCATGTGCTTATGATGAGACCTTAGTTCCCTCACAAGTAACAGAGTTGGCTGTTCTAGGAAATAATGTTGACTCATTGAAACCTTGGTGTGGGTGGGGTTTTTCATCCTCACAAGCTTCTATGACATCCCATGTTCTACCAGGTAATATTTCTTGAAGGGCTACCTTTTCCGCTGGTCTTTTAAGGCTTGTATTTAACAAAGATACACGTAGATGTATTGTAAATACCATTAATAGGGTCATTTGTGTACCATTTGCAGAATCTGAAGATGACCTGAAGTCTCAAGGAAGAGGTAAAATTTGAAGTTACTCGTAACTTTGTTTTCATTTGATTTGAAATACTCAGCTGCCCTTTGCAACCTTATGTGTACACTGTGTGATGATTTACTAGTTTATGAGTTCAATGGTCTGGATGTATCTGTGCTTGCCATTACAGGCCCTGGTTTGACTGGATAATCATTGCACTTAATTGTGTTTTTGTTTTTTGTGTTATTTTTCTGCCTGGCAGTTGAACGTTGTCCAAGACTGTTGGAGGCTGCTCAAACCTTGTATGACATTGCCACTCACGTGGCAAGGCTAAACCAAGAGGGAATATTAAGGCGGCCTAAGGAGCTCTTACAAAAGGCTATGAAAGCTCGCAGGACAAAATCAATCGAGAAACCTGAAGATGTATCTGCAGCGTCAACTTCATCAATGGGGTCTGACCATCTGTCGAGAAATGGCACGGACCAGATAAAGCCCACAAAGAGGCATAAACCCTCAACCATTAGGGACAAAAAAGATCTTGATCATATCGACAGTGTTAGGAAAGGGCCAATAAATTGGTCTGCTCCAAAATCAAGAAGAGCATCTCCCATCAAATTAATTAGGGACTCCATTGCAGAAAGTAGACATTCCGCTGCTTACAACTTAAAGGAAGCATGTATGATGCCTCCTCCACCTGCAAAAGTTCTGAATAGAACTTGCAACGGTCAACAAAAGGTTCGTAAATTGATGCAGATGGACTGAAACAGGGAGTGTTGACAGGCATGGCTGATCAATGTTTTTCCAGATTCAGAAAACTCTTCGTTTTAATCAATTCTTGTAATCCATCAACACCGCCATTGTGGTGCCAGTCAAACTGTGCTGGACCGATGTGTACATAATGTGGGATTGTTTGTACGGATGTAGACTGTAGACGGACGGGATTTGTTGTAAGGAGGTTCATCTTGAGGGATGAAAAGCAATGTTGTACCCTTAAGAGCAGGTAATTCTTTGCCTTGTACATAAAGCACTTCATCGAGGCAACAGAAATTTCAGTTCTTTTCCCTCGTCTTCTTAGTTGAAACTGAGTACTAGCAAAACTATCCATTTCTTAAAAAAACAAAACGAATCGTCACCGAGTGGCTTGTGATGCAAAGAAACATATGTGAACGTACCAGGGAAGATCTGGTTAACGAACCATATAGAAAGGTATTTTAGATTCAAATCCGGTTACGAAACATAGCACCAACACATTGTTCAAAAGTTAAAAATAGTTGGAGCTAAGATGGCTGATTCTTTATTTACATTAAGTTCACCACCAATGTCCGGGGATGTAGCTCAGATGGTAGAGCGCTCGCTTAGCATGCGAGAGGTACGGGGATCGATACCCCGCATCTCCATACTTTTTGGCTGGTGTTCTCCATACTTTTTGGCTGGTGTTACAGCCTTGAAAAGGGGACACCGTTTCTTTTTCCCTTTCTCTTTTTTGACTGTAAAAGAAAAGGAAAGCCATTCTTCGAACAGAAAAATTCCGGGAATTTAAATTAGCAGTTTCAACTTTATATTTCATCAATTTAAGAGAGAGAGAGAGAGAGGGCAATCCCCAGATATTCCTATTATCGGAAAACATAAGGAAATTAAATGTGTTTTTCTCTTAATCTTTGGAGCCAAGATCATCGGTCACCTCAATACCCACTGGCATTTCTCTATTCTGAACCGATTCTATTTCCTTAATATTGTGGCCAAAACATATGGACATGTATATTTTACTATTTACTACAAAATCCAAAAAAAAAAAGGAGTAAAAATCAGGGGAACATTTGATCCAATATCAAAAGCAAACCCATGGCAAATCCAGGATCAAATCCTGGTTCTACATTCAAAACAAAAACCTCTACCCCATAAGAAATACCTTCAACCATGGCTTCTTTCCTCTTGATCTCTGCCAAAACCTTTCTTGATCCACCTAACACCTTGCATGATCTACGCGTATAAGAACCTTCGATCACAAATGAATGTCTTTTATCTGCGGATCCTCGAAAAACATACGCGAGCACATTGTGATTGGTTTGTAAGATGTTAATATTCTTCCTCACACACCAAATTGGCTTCTTTGACAATTTGTTTGCTGCACAGTAGTTACCCACTTCACCTTCATAGACAAACCAGTTATGTACTAGCACTCCAAGCTTCTGCAAAAGAATTTAACCAAGATTTAAGACGAGACCAGTCTTAATTCGATTCGTCTTAATAGGGTCTTGAGTTCTAATCTGCTTCTTATTCACCTAAAGAACTCAAAAACGTATAGAATGAGAAAATAAAAAGGGGCGGATTACCTTGCGTCGACGCATTGTGAGGATGGATTTTCCCGAGCCATCCATAAGAATGAGTTCGTCAGGACGATCAATGTAATTATCAACGCGATAGACTAAATCTCCACAGGAATTAATCACTGTAAATCCATTGCAACTAATTAAAAGTGACTTTCTCCACACTGTTAATGACGTGCACGTGCCATCGTTAATCCTGGTCTCCAACCTACATTCTCAAACTGGCTCGTGATCATGTTCTTGATCATGGACTGATCTTGACAAAGATTTTAAGAAAAATATCATCTTCAATAGAGCGATGGCAGTCTTTGCTTTTGAAACCTAAGAAGACATTTATGCAAGTTAGCTGTAGAATGATAGTCTGTCTTATGATTTTGCTTGTTAGGAGGAGACATGCGCGTGTAGGGCGCGTTGCTCTTGTGGGGTTTCCTCGTAAGAAAGTTTAACAGGGCCTGCCATCTTAAAATTCTGAATCCCAATCCGACAAGACTTTACCTAACTAGAAATGCCTCTTCCCTTGGAGTCTCCATTGTGAGATTAAGAAAATAATTTCATTTTAATCTTTACTGTTAGGAGTTTGATTGTATTGTATATGTTGGGGCTTGAAGATGTGACACGTGTGTGTTTCCATCGTTGGCCTCAAAGATTCCAAAGTATTTCTGGTTTCGATTAAGAGTTCGGCATTTATATTTTCTTGAACAGATGAAGGAAATTACATATGTATGCACAATGCACGTGGGAGGTTGAGAGCAAAACCCAAGGGAGTTGACGTGTTTCTTTCTAGGTCAAGGACGAAACAAAGAATCGACGCGTGATGATTTCCGTCCAATTAAAAAAAATCACAATCCTATTGTTGCAAATTATTATTCATTGCAATACTATAATTATTGTTTTGACCCGTTAAAAATAATCACAATGTTCATAAGATCTTTTTTTTCTTTGCATTTTCCTTTTTTTCTTCATTTTTTCTTGTTTTTATTCTTTAATATTTGCTTAATTTTAATTTTGTTTTTATAAATTATTTTAATTTTATAATTATAATTTCAAACAAACATTATAGTATTTATTTTATGATTCATGTATGTTCGGTTTTACAATCATCTATTTTTGTGATTGTATAATTAAACTTATAATTTCAAACAAACATTATAGTATTTTTTTTGTGATTCATGTATATTCGGTTTTACAAGCATCTATTTTTGTGATTGTATAATTAAAAAAATAATTTTTTTAAATGAAATTTTTAAATTAAGTGGAATCCAAATAATTTTTTTAAATAAAATTTTTAAATTAAGTGGAATCTATCATCCGGATGGCTAATTTAATGAGATAAAACCACAAATTTCAAATTAATCTATGGTATTACCGGATGGCTAATTTAATGAGATAAAACCATAAATTTCAAATTAATTTATGGTATTATTATTTTAATATAAAAAAAATCTTTTTGATTTTAAAGTTAAACCACTTTTCAATTTATCTTTAAATTTTTTAAGCTAACTAATTTATTTTATAATAATTTTTATAAAATTTAATTTTAAACCTGAGTTATTAAAGGATCACGTTGAAAAATTTAAAAGTTCTGGATTTCATAATAATAATAATAAATAACTGCCCGTGGACAGGACAATTTTTTATTTGATCCACAATGCATCGTGCCGTGTAAACTATTTCCTTTCTAATAAAAATGTTTAATGTAATGGTTCGATAAGATCTAGCAAATGATCAAGATGACACTCACACACTAGTGGCTCAAGTTTTATGTGAAAGGACGCAAGAATGTTTTATTGTTCGAACTATAATTATAGATAAAAATCATAAAACTAAGAAAATGATTCAGGGAAATTTCGTCAGGGAACAACCGTATGTTTAAAGAACACGCAAGTTGGATATATATATATATATAACAAAACGGATCCCTTCTCAATCGGAGCAGTGCATCCCTAACCATATCACTATGATTGAATGTTCTTAGGAGGAGAATCTTTTTAGTCTTAGGAGGAGAATCTAGCACAGAGTGTCTTAGCACATCACCACAGGCATGGTTACTGTAAAGAAGCCATTGATCAGTAGACAACGAGCTAGCTCGTTCTGAATCCAAGCAATACAAGAAATTAAATATAGACGAAGGATCCATATTTCAAGTGCTTGCTCTTAAAAGCTGTTGACCCACCTGGTATATCTCGTGAAACATGTGGTGGTTAAAAGATACGCATGGTCTCCATTCAATTTTCACCGAAGTACTGTTTCTTGTAGACTTTTAAACGACAGATGTAGGACCTCGACATCTACCTTAGCCACAGCCACATTTTTGTTAATGTTGTCTTCAAACACGTCTTCCTCTAATATATAAGGCAGCACATCACCGACTATTACCGCAGTGTCTTCACCAATGTATGGTCTTCAACCATGAGAGAAAGTTATGTTTTGTAACACATGTAGCACACAATTACGATGGACATGTCTGATTTTTTGTAAGGATTATGCTTCAATATGTTAATTAAAAATCAACTTAATTTTCTAGGAGAGTGTAGATGTTAGGAAAATTAAAGATATTTGAAAGAATTAGGCAAGTAAATGCAACCAAGATTTTTGTTTTTATTTTTTAATATTAATTAAATTAATAACTAAAATCAATAATGAAAATAACAAGTAAAAGTAAACATGAAAAGTGTAAGAATTTAGAAGAAATTAACCTGTGATTGTGGCACACAATAATTCTATTTTTAAAGAGAAACCTAAGATTGTGGCACTACGTAATGCAAACCTACATCTAACAAAAGAAAAAAGTAAAAATAAATATAGAAAGAGTAAAGGTTTAGAAGAAACCTAAGATTGTGGCACGCAGTAATATTATTCTTAAAGAGAAATAACTTCCTCGGCATGACGATAATTTTCATATAATTCATTTCTCTTCCGAGACACAACCATCCAATAGAGTTTCTGAATTCAGCAAAAACCTCTTAAACCCTTAAATTATCCTTTTGCTCGCTTAAGTTAATAAAGTATGAGAAAGAAAACATAGTAAAATTTAAGAGGAATATAGAGAAAAAGGTTTTAAATTATGTACAGAGATATACAAAAACTAAAATATAAAGTATTTTTAAGAGTTTTTATAATAAAAATATTATATATGATCATCCTATACATATGCCATATATACACTCAATAAACACATCAGTTATCAAATATATTTAACATAACTAAATATAATGAATTAATTTAATTATACATGTCCACCATTAATTATATTAATATTAAATATTTAAATTTATACACCGTAATTAAAATCTAATTAGCTAAGTTAATAACATTTATTAATAATATAATATAATTATCATTAATTATAATTTTAAATTGACTACTTACATACAATACCATTATATTCAAATTACTTTGGATAAAAAAATAAATTATTATTTTAAAACTATTATCCCACATAATCAATGCAAGATAATATTGATATTTATTAATTTCATCACACCTCTAACTTATTTCAATATTAATGTTATTATAATTTCATCCAAGCTCATGATAAATAATTGCTTCTATTTTTATATATGACATGTTTAAATTATCATTTAGTAATAAATTATTTTTATTATTATAAGTGATACTACTGTTAATAAAAAACTATAACACTGCCATAATAACATAATATAAATATATTACAAGACAAGTGTTTGATGGATTTCTAAACAAATATGAGCTAAGGCGTCCGTTTGCAGGGAGAAGGAGTTGTTTTGGCTTTCATGTTTTGTGTTTTTTTATTTATATTTAAATTTTATGTTAAGTTGTATTTTAGAAGCGTAAGATGTTAAGTTGTTTTATTTTAAAGTTATGAAAATGTTAAAATATATTATTTTACTAATTTTAAAAAAAAATTATATTATCCTGTCAAAATCTTTAATTTGCTGTGATATTTTATTTTTTTTAAAAAAAACCTTCATTATTATCTCTCAAGATCAGTAATTTGGGATTTCCTGAAACGAGCTTTTTGATCAGTGGAAATGCCATCGCATACCAAGCTAGAGTGTAGGTCTGCCCATTCCAAACATATCAGCTGGGCATTTCCTGTACTGCTGTCTCCTTCATTACCTCATTAGTCAAAATCTACATGTGCCCCTTGAAAATAATTGGGCATGTGTTTAAATACCATTGGCTATTATGAGATCAGTCACCTCCAAGAGATATTTTGTCGCTACAACCAGCCGACCACGACGACTGCTGCAACCCCTTTCCTCTGCTACTTGTTGCTTATATTAATTAATCTGTTCCTTTTCCTTCTTTCTCGTCTGCGGTTATTTTCAATCAACTTGCTAGTCCCGTTGAATTTGATAAACAAGCGAAAATAGCTGAGAATGCACACCCAATGTAATGCTTACACGATTATATATAGGGCATTATTCAAGTTAATATCATCTTTAGCCTCTTTATTAATCGACTCCGAGCAACTAAGATAATTCTTGCAAGGAGTTTTTTTCTTTAATTTCAAATCTTAATTAAAAAGAATACAATGAAGATTTAGAAATAGAAGAGTTTTATCAATTCCATGCTTCAAGAAAGAGAAAAAAAGGAAAGGAATTATCCATTCATCAACAACAGCCAGTATGAAATTATGAAAGAGCTTGTTTTCAATAATTATCTTAACAAAAAGATAAGGCTAGCTTGATCCGGTTTGAAATTTCAGGATTTAATGTGACCAGGTCTAACTTGATTCATATTAACTGATTCTCATCCAGAATTCGTGGAGGTTAAGAGTAACAACTAGATTTATCAGGAAAATCAGAAATAGGGAATGTTGTAACCAGGAAATTAAACTGGACAAAAAGTCTCTATTATTTACCTCACGTCACAGCTCATGTCAGCATTTCAAGAAGCCCACCTAGATATATCTTCCCTGCTCTATATACCAATTTTGAAGAGATCTTCCCATGTTGGAAGATCAAGACACCCAGAAAGGGATAAATACATTTCATCAAATACAGCTAGGGTTTGTGTTGTTGGATTATGAATTTTATAAATGGAAACAGTGAATACCTCGTATGTAGCCTCGCACCATGCCTGTGCACGTGCAACGAAACCAAATCCGGGAGGGCGGGTCCGATTGTGATTTTATTCCCTGCCATTTTAAGAAAAATATTGCATCGACAATGAAGTTTGAACTAGTTGTCAAACAACGTGCACATTTGCAGGTTGAAGCGTCGATGGAGATTTTTTTTTTCTTTCTTAATTCTTGATCATCGTCGGTGGAGAATTTCTTGGTGCAAATCATCCCACCAAATACTTTGTTGATTTGTTTTACTTAAAAAAAGAGAGAGATGGAAATATAAAGATATAATTAGGGGTGGGAATGAAAGGATAAAAGTATTGTCAAAGCAATTCATATATTTTAATGGCTTCCAAGAAAACTATGCATTGTTTCACAGGACACTTAATCCAAATTAAACTAAGAGTGAGTGAGGAAAGATTTAAGAAATAGCAAAAGCAAAACACCATTAAAAATTATTTGAATGCATTGATTAAACTT